ACATTTGGATACAAAGGACTACAGAATAAATAGGAAAAGTAAAAGGATCCAAGGACAAATGAGGAGGAAGTCTCCCACACTGCTGCTGTTGTTGTAAACCTGGTGATGATAATGTTCATTTCTACTGCTGTTTGCCTGAGAATGGTGAAGCTCTGGTTGATATTCATGAGGCAGATGAATCATAAACCTTTACCGTATGTCCACGCTATTAACTGATGGATCCAAGCTGGGTCTTTTTTTCCCCGTAGCTCTGAAATCCTGGGATTAAAGAGGTTTGATCCACATTGAGAAAAGAAGAGAGTTTAGGGGCGGGGCCCTCTTTTCTGAGTTTCCTATTGGTGGGTGAAGGTTAGCCAGGTGACAGTGCAGCAAACAACAACAACTTGTTTGTCACCTGCAGGCGAGAGGGAAACAAATTAAACAGAAGCTCCAGGGATTAAAGTCTGACACATCAACCAATCAGCTGCTTTAATGTTCACCTTAACAAGAAAAAACAGTTTAATGACAAAACAAAAAATCTCACTAAAATAAGAATTATAATCCCATCAGTGAGGGATTGTTTCTGTTTTTCGGTTTAGCCTGACAGGCCACATGCTGACAGCCCTGCTGTGGAAGATGAATAAATGAATGTTAATACATGTTAATTTTCAAGTCAACAATGTTGTTTAATTAGGCGCTGATATAGTCAGCAATTACAGTACTGTGCTTTGCAGCCAGCCTGACATTTCATAAAACTTTCAGATGTTTTTTCTTTTTGCTTTGTTTGTAAATTGTAAACCATTTAAAATCTTTCAACAAATAAACCAAATAGAAAAACAATAATTTGTTCTGACAGAGGCTGGTCTAATGGTGCCTCGTGTGGTGGGTCTGTGTCACTGACATCCTAGAAGACTTTTCAGTACCAAGTACAGGAGGTCCTTTTCAATTTCAAAGTCATACATAAATACATATGTCACTCACTGACACTAACACAATGGTGACATCATAACCTAGGACATAAAAACATTAGAAATTTTTTTTCTAATGTTCCAGTAAAATAGATGATACTTAAGACTTTGACTTTAAACCGTTTCCAATAAATAACTTTAGCTACGTACATAAGTGAGGTAAAACACTTAGTAATTTAACAGAAACAATTATTACTGTTCAGAGATAAGTGCAACAGTAAAATAAAAACACTTCAGGTGGTCGCGTCCAACCTCCTGCAATCAATGACATAAATTATATATTGAATAAATGACATCTCTCCTTTTTGTCCAAACACAGCCACCGTCATCGCTGCTGTCTTTAACCATTTACACTTCTCACCTAATGTTCATGCTAATGTGAAATCTATCATGTAACGCTGCAGTAACACTTCCTCCTAATACACACACACTCATTAACTCTACCTCTGACTGTGTTTCATAAAAAGAGGATTCATGGAGCTCACACTCTTCCTGCTGCTGCACCACCACAATTGATGGAGTTGTCCATCAGATTGATAACCAACCATCTCCAAACTGAAAATGATTATCCAGATAAGAAGAGCTGCTGCACTCATTAAAACACTAAAGTTTAAGTTTCTCTGACTTCTA